GCTCCGATGAGCTCTCGGATGACATCACGCAGCAGCAGCTGCTGCCTGGAGTCAAGTGAGTCCCGTGGAGTGGTGTGGTGGGGAAACTCCCATGTGGTTTGGCGGGGAGAAAAGCCCATGTAGTTTGGGGGGGAAAAAGGAGCAAATCAGGATGAGCAACCCTGTAATGGTGTTTTTTTCTCTGCCCCCTTGCAGGGACCCCAATCTTTGGACTGTGAAGTGCAAGGTGGGTTTTTGGGGGGCGGTCTGTGCAGAGCGAAGCTCAGCATGAAGGGACAGGGACAGCGTACCCTAAAACATTCTTTTTGTCCCCAGATTGGTGAGGAGCGCGCCACAGCCATCGCTCTGATGCGGAAATTTATTGCTTACCAGTTTACCGACACGGTGAGTCCACGGGGAGCTGGGGACGGGGTGGAGCAGCATGGTGTCCCCAGCATGTCCCCAATGTGTCCCCTCGTCCTCCAGCCCCTGCAGATCAAATCAGTGGTGGCCCCCGAGCATGTCAAGGGTTACATCTACGTGGAGGCCTACAAACAGACGCACGTCAAGCAGGCGATCGAGGGGGTGGGCAACCTGCGCATGGGCTACTGGAACCAGCAGATGGTTCCCATCAAGGAGATGACCGACGTCCTCAAAGTGGTCAAAGAAGTCACCAACCTCAAACCTAAATCTTGGGTGCGCCTCAAAAGGGGGATCTACAAAGATGACATTGCCCAGGTGAGGAGGGCACGAAAGGGGGACGCTGCGGAGGTTGGGGGGGGACGCACAGCCGGCTCACGCCCCCGTGCTTGTGCCCCTCAGGTGGATTACGTTGAGCCCAGCCAGAACCAGATTTCCCTCAAAATGATCCCCCGCATCGACTTCGACCGCATCAAAGCCCGCATGAGCTTGGTAAGGGGATCCCTGCCGGGATGGCGCCGGCACCCCTGGCTCTCTCTGAAGGGCCTCGGCTGGCCATCAGGGGCCTCCCGAGGGGTCTGGGTGGCCCCTCATGGGGTCTGGGTAGCCCTCAGGGACCCCCCGAGCGGTTAGGTTGGTCCTCAGGTACCCTCTGAAGGGTCAGGATGGCCCTTAGAGCCCCCCCCGAGGGGATGGTACTGGCACCCCTGACCGCCAGCCTCTCTTTGCTCACCCCCTGCTGCCCCCCCCCCTGCAGAAGGACTGGTTTGCCAAGAGGAAGAAGTTCAAGCGACCCCCGCAGCGGCTTTTTGACGCTGAGAAGATTCGGTAGGTGATTGTGACATCAGATGTGCCCCAAAAAGGTCTCCCCCGGCAGAGCTATCGCTGAGGGGTGTTATTGACCCTTTTGGGGGGGGCTTCCGCCCACCTGAGGGGTGATTTGGGTTTTGTCCCAGGTCCCTGGGAGGTGACGTGGCGTCTGACGGCGACTTTCTCATCTTCGAAGGCAACCGCTACAGCCGCAAGGGATTCCTCTTCAAGAGCTTCGCCATGTCGGCCGTGGTGAGCGCCGCTGCCGGGGTTTAAACCCCAAACTCGCCGTTTTTCCCCCCAAACCGCCTCTTTTCTAAAGCCGAGGGGCGTTGGGTGGCTCCTCAGCAGCGATATTTTCGATCCTATCTCGGCAGATAACGGAGGGGGTAAAGCCCACCCTATCCGAGCTGGAGAAGTTCGAGGACCAACCCGAAGGCATCGACCTGGAGGTGGTGACGGAGAGCACAGGTAAGCGGGTGCCACCCCCATGTCCCTGTCACCCCTCCAGGCAGTGATGTCCCCTCACTGTCCCCCCCCTCCCACCCCAGGGAAGGAAAGAGAGCACAACTTCCAGCCTGGTGACAATGTGGAGGTGTGCGAGGGCGAGCTGATCAACCTGCAAGGCAAAATCCTCAGCGTTGACGGCAACAAAATCACCATCATGCCCAAACATGAGGATTTGAAGGTCAAGGAGTCGCTGGGGAGCGACAACGGCCCCCCTGACCCCCAACACCCCCAGCCTCTTCCCCTTGCTCATGGGCGCACCCCGATACACGGCTGCCAGACCCCCATGTACGGCTCTAGCTCCTGCAGCCCATGTACAGCTCACAGACCCCCTGTATGACGGTGAGTGACACTAGGGGGGGGCATCGGGGATTGGGGGCACCCTGGGAACACTGAGGGGACGTTGGGGTGGACTGGAATGAGCTGGGACATTGGGGGGACACAGCGGGATGGAGGGAAC